CCGGAATCTTCGCCAGCTTGATCGACGTTGGAGACTGAGCGTGACTCGAGTGAGCAGAGTGCTGTGGCAGTGTAAGCGCGGAAGAGGTGGGTGGTGGCTGCAGTCCCGGATTCTGCGCGTGAGTCGCGGCGATTAGAAGCGGGTTGACGCCCGAGCTGGTGTGCGGCAGTTGTTGGCCTGGGAGTTGTCCCGGCTGAGGCGTATTCGCGCCCGTAGCCATCGGCGTAGAGAGGTTTGAGGGGAGCTCACTGGTGAAGATGGTGGCTGAGGAGGGCGATATAATGTATTTCCGCTGCAGCGTCTCCACCAACGCTTCTTTGAAGCCTCGCACCTTCGCGCCGTTGCCAACGATGATCATCGACTCCCACAGCTCGTTGCGTCTGTTGACGTCCGGACACGATTGCACAGTGCGATGGATGGCGTCTGCTATTCGTTCCAAAATACCCGGCTCGCCGTCCTTGCCCGAGGCGGCTTCGAAGCGCTCGGGTCCGACCTCGATCTCTCGCCTGAGACCACCAGTAGGCGAGGCGTCTGTAGCGGCTGTGCCATCGTGGGGCTGAACGGTGAAGCCACTATCTGCTGGTCGGTCCGAAACTGCAGACTGAGGCTCAGGGGTCTTCTGCCGCTTGTTGGGTCCTTCGTCCATCGCCGACTGCATATCTGCCATGTGCTGGCTGCTCATTCCAGCCTTCTTCATCGCATCGTGCAGGGCGAAATCCTCGTAAAGAAAGGTGTTGCGTGTCCGCTTGTGATTTGGCTGTCGCACAGGTTTGTTCGCGGCCAGTTGCTGCGCATCACTGCCCTTTTTCTGCTGCTTTGCTGCTGCCTTCTCTGCCTTCTCGTGGTCCTTCTGTGCGAGATACCCGCTCATGTTGCCGCCCGCGACGATGCTTGCAATGTCGAGCACACCCTCGTCATCCTCGAGCTTCTTCTCCTGGCCCACCTGTGTGCCTGGTCCGGGTCCTCTAGGTAGATCTCCCACATTTGAAAGCTTCCTCGCGCCAGCTCCCGTCGATGCAGCTGCGGCCGGGTTCGCTGGTGCATCCGCCGTTGCCGAGTCGCTCGTCGGCACCTCAAGGTCCGGCGGCAGGATCTCGCAGACGTTGCTCTTCTTGAGCTGCTCGCACACCTCGCGTGTGAAACCTTTCCGGCCAGTCAATAGCTCCTCCAACCGTCCCGTCATCGCATCACCTCCGCACTCCGGTACCGCCAAGCTCCTACCCACATCATATAGTGTCGAGTCGGCAATGCATGTGATGTCTGCCTTGCCCAACCCGACGTCCACTACAGTCGCCGTTGTGATACCATACGCGTACGAGGCCGCCATGGCACTATCCACCATCGTGAATGCGGGCACCTTGAACTTCTGGAAGAAGAATTGCGTGACTCTCTCGTGCTCCTTCGTCGTCCATACCGGCTCCGCAATCAGTATGATTGGTGTATGAAATGGCGGGTTGACGGTGTTGTAGACGTGGGTCATCAGCGCGTAGAAGCACTGCCAGTCGACTATTTTCCCTTCACGTATCGGCCATATTGCGCCATCTTCTGATATGCGGTCCTCCTCCCACTCCGGCTCGCCGTTGGTCTCGGGCTTCGGTTGCTCACCGTCTGTGATCCCATTGACGGGCGCGGTCGGTGCTGACGCGGGCTTCTCTTTCCGGCGGATCTTGACCGGCTCGTACTCGCCTTCTTGCTCGGCTTGGAACATGCGCGACCGCAGTCGGTATCGTGCGGGTGTAAAGGACTCGGGCAGGCCTAGCTGAGCGAGAGTGGTCTCGGAGCCAGGCGCAATGATCTGTTTGGCATAGTCAGTAGCTGTCGCAAAGTGCCAGCACAATGTTGACATCATCGCAACGTACGAGGATCTGGTCATCGCGAAATGGAGGCATATTGGGTGGACGAGATGTGCTGTCGCAATGCTTCGCTCAGTTCTGGTGATTGAGAGAGGGTTTGAAGTTCGAACGCGCGCACAGCTTCAGTCGCGTAGTGGATGAAGAACGCTTGTGATTGGGTGAGAAGAAGCTTACGCTAGTGGGCGGCCGCATAGCGGGGCGAAAGGGCGACGTTGTTCATCAGTGGGCGCGAATATATAAAACCTACCTGTAGCTATAGAACTCATTGAAAACCAAAGATATAAACGAGCATCCGAGATGCAGAAGGAAACATCCTACAATCCTTAAGTCAAGGTGTTCAGGCGTCAAGATGTTCAGGCAATCAGTGACAGTACAAACAGGCACATCAAACAACTTTATAGCTCAAGTTGAACCAGTGACTGTAAGAGCCAACCGACTCTTTGCACGGTTTGTTGGTTAACTACTTGGAAAAGTCGACCCGTTGGTCAACCGGGAGCCTCGCTAGCGGTCAACCAACCGTAAGGTATCCAGGTTTTTCTGTTGGTTGACTGTATACATTTGGATATACTCTGTTTGCCTAAAAATCCTTACCCAAACCCGTACCCTAGGGCTTGCATAGACCCCTGCGCCCCTGCGGCAAGAAAACGGCTGTTCCCCGTGGATAGCGGGCTTTCCCGATACTTACGCATTCGCTTAGTCTACCAGACCGGCGCGGAGAATCCTTATCCCGGATCACGTGCGGACTGGCAACCGGTTAAGCTAAATCGCATTTTTTGTCAAACGATAAACTAACTACAGCCTGTTGGACGGTCAATCGACCGTAGAAACCCTCAGCCGCGCGGTTGGTTGATTGTTACAGGACCTGACTTCGACCGCACAGATTCACCTCAGACCTGCAAGTCCCTCAGTGAGCACTGATGGTCCATATCCCGTCGCCACGCCCAAGCCTACAGGTGTTCAATTCCGCTTGGTAGCCACTTTGCGACCCGCTGAGGATGTGAGCGGTCCGCCACCGGTCTTCAGGTAACACGGACCAGAGCCACCCACGTCTGCCGTGTACGTCACACGGCCACAATTCGCATTGGCACCGCATGCTTGGATACAATCGATGAAATTGTCGGTCTGAATCTGCTGAATGAAGGTCGTGGCCACTGTGTCCATGCCGCAACGGACAATCCACGCACCGCCCTTAGGTCCATCGTACTCTTGGCCGTCTCCTGAAGGACAGGTGGATTGACTAGTCCAGCCGCCGCGTTTCTCCAGGTCGAGGGTTGACAGATCGACAGGAGTTGTAGAGCTAATGGAGGCAAATCCCAAGGCAGCCACGGAAATGATCTTCACGATAGAGGCAAGCATGTTGTCTAGTCTATGCCGTTAGTAGGAACCACAGCGTAGGAATATATTTGGTATAGCACCTCGGATCTCTTCTTCGGAGGTAGTAGTACAAAGTCAGAGAAAGCGTTCGTGGTGTTTGGGGTGGCTTCAAGGGTGGTTTGATTGCGCTAGGGGAGCGAGATGGATGCAGGAGTACTAAATTCGCTGCGCAGACAGCGACGGTGCCTTTATATCCCTCTGTGAAGGACCATAGGTACACACCAGAAGCTGCCGAGTTGTACGAGATCCGTATATAGACTAGTCCACAGGCACCCAGGCGGACTCTCTCATCCAGTTGGGACCTAGAACGAACTCTCCATCGGATTCTCTGCGCCACACCGCACATAGGTGCTGCGCGTGAGCACTGCAAGACGGGATGTGCAAGACCAGACGGTTCTATTGCTGGCGGAGAAGAGCTACTGCGGCGCTAGGAAGACGAGGCCGTTTCACTCCAGCCGTCTTCCAAATCATCTGCTGTCTGCATCTCCCGGAGCCTTACCAAAGAGATCGGACAACCGCGGTAAGAGAATGCAGCCATGATCGTCTACCTTCGTGGATCCCGGAGCTCACGACTCATTTGGTTTGGTTCCTTAACAGGACCAGAGTACTGCGAGTAGGGACTTCCTGGGTTGGGAGTATACTTGTGAGGCTGTGACCGACCACTGAAGCCTAAGATTGACGGAGGCCTCGGTGTCACGAAGCGGTTCAGACGGCCTTCCCACTTGTGCCCTGTCAGTAACACCGTGCATACTTCTCCGTATTTCATGATATAGTAGGTCGAGCATACACCTACCTGACTAACTCTAACCTAACTCTCTTGGGACCATACGGGTGAAATGTCTGGCTGTAGCTTGGATAGCGCATGCAACATGTATTGGCCATGGGAGCGGAGCAGAGTGAGCCGCGACGCATGGTTCCGCGCCGGCAGATCATTGCAGAACATAGATCCCATCCTGTACAGTGGCTTGACCGGTCAACAGAGCATTGGGCCAAATAGCGGAATAACTGCAGCGTCGATACCTAGTTGAGCCTCGCCGACTGCTTTCGTGCAAAGGTGTCGGAGGCTAGGAGATATGGTGGAAGACCAGCCCTTGAGTGGATCGGCCGCGAATGTAAGCGAATGGCATTGGAAGCTCCAATAAAGCTGCGGGCATCTAGACTCACGGTGCCGATTTGCACGAGGCTGTACACGTCTGCAAGTCTGTGACGGTCCTTGGTACCACCAATGATCCAGGAGTCCTTCCTGCTTGTGCAGATCGTGCTCCCTCTGGTATATTATGTAGCAAGCTGCAAGCTACTACCGAGGCACGTTTCCACTGTAGACGTGAGTGATGTTCGTCCTGCTTGAGCTTCCCCTCTGTGCCGAGCTTGACGTCCGATTTCTCCCAAGACCGGCGAAGATGGATGCATACCAGCCGTAGTAGTCCTCTTCGTAGAAAGTGCCTTGTAGCGGGGCAGGGCGTTATAGATCTGCCACATCCCGCATGGTGCCGATCCGAAAGGGAGGGTGTTACATGTATTCTCGCCATATGGCATACAGCTTGACAGGCGGAAGGTAGGAGGTAGTGCAGGCCTGTCATACTTGTCCAGTGGGCCAGATGATTGGCCTCGGAGCAACAATGCTCCGCGGTGACCGAATTTCGGGATGCTGTGTAGGTAGTATGCCAGTAGACATGGAAGACGTACTCATCGGGGGAAGCTCGGGTAAACTAAGAATTGGTATATAAAACATCACCAGATACATAGCCTTCATCAAGTCAGCGATGACAACGAGCCTCTATAGCTCAGTTGGTAGAGCGCGGCACTAGTATCACATCTAGACCATGCCGAGGTCTTCGGTTCAACTCCGAATGGAGGCAGCGATGAGCAGACAATTCTGTCTGTTCAACTTTTGCGTTTTTGGATTATGTCGTTGACTCGTTGTAGCTATAATCGAAATTGTGGTGTGATTGATCTTTTGGCTGTGTGCGGGGCATAAGTCTTGGGAAAGCTCACCTAGAGACTCGTTGCCATATATCTTGGCCCATGTCCGACTCGACAGCTCCGCAACGTACCCCATCGGCTCACCTGCATCCTTCCATCTTCGCTCAGCGCTGCAGCCTGCCTGCACCGCCGCCTGCGCCAGCTCGTCATCATCTAATCTGCGTGTGGCAGTGTCGTCGCTTAAGACCGAAGTGGCCCTACTCGTTGGTGTCTTTCCATGCTCTGTCCTTTCTCTATTCTCTCGCAGGCATGTCAGACGCACTCCTACTCTCGCTGCCGGAAGAGCTCCTGGCGTCCATAGCTACCTTCGTCGAAACCGATAGCATCGTTAACTTCGGGCTGGCTTGCAAGACATCATACCGCTGCATCAAAGACCGCCTCGCTATTAACAAAGCATATCACGCTCGGTACACGATCAGGCATGACCGGCCGCCACTTGCTGCTCCGACTCTACTTCGTTTAACTCATGAGAACCCGGAGGCAGCGTGGCATATACGTGCCCTCGAGTTTTGGGGCATACGACCCGGTTGGCGAGAATGGAGTTCATGGACTTTCTATTATGATAACCCTGGATACAAGGAGAACCACGGAGAGCCAGACCCGAATTGGCCTGATCCCACCGAGGACCATTCCACGCTGGATCAATCATTCTATGGGCATGGAGAACTCGAGCGTTACGAAGTTGTCATGCGAGACACCTTAGCCATGAGCGATGCGGACGTGTCAGTGTGGATGCAAAAGGTCAGAGATGGCTGGGATGAGACACTGAAGGGCATGCTCATCGCACTTGCGCCGAAGGTGGACAGGGTAAACTTTATCGCGTGCGTGATTCAATCTGATCTCTGCTACTGCATCATTTACATACTCACGTACTGACCTGTGGTTTTAGCTACCAGGGTGAAGAATATGACGACATGCACCCACTGAGCTTCCTCTGCCAAGCCATCCGCAGCATCAGCACCACCCCTGAGCCTTCGTGGCCACCCGGTTTTCGGTCGCTGCGACATGTGTCCATCTGCACATCAACAACTATGCGCCATCCACACGACGCATACTACGCTTCTCCCTCGGCCGTAGCACCGCTGTTCTTCCTACCGAACATCAAGGTCTTGAACCTGACGCTTCTGGGCTACCATGACGACGAGGACGAAGACTATTCTCTACCGGCAGGGTGCTCCTCGGTTGAAGAACTTGCCTTCTCCTGCTGCAACCTTTCACATACTGCCATGGGGAAGTTGATCAAGGCGTGTAAACGTCTTCGAGGGGTAAAGTCCATGGCAAGTTGCTCGGACAAGGGCAATCTGACGGGCATGCTGTACGAGGAGTACGGACATTGCTTGGAGGATGTGTTTCTCTATGGGGCTTACGAAACGGTCAACCTCCAAGGCCTTCGCAACTTTCGCAGGCTCAAGTCCCTCAACGGCATCAATGTCTCTACATTGCTGTCGAATGGTGACGAGTCCACAAACGCTCGTGGGGCAGGTGAGACAGCTCATCAGCCTAGCAATGCAGGAAGCGCCCATGTGATTGACCTGCGAGACCTCTTGCCGCCCAGCATCGAGAGCATTGCCCTCATCGTCAATCGCAAGACAGATCACCACGTGCACAGGGAACTGTTGCGTACAGTCGCCGATCTTGTCGAGGACGAGCGATTTGCGCAGCTGAAAGAGGTCTGTATGTGGAGTGTCGCCGTATCATATGGGACCACCAAAGAACGGACCTTCGACTGGGATCCAGACGCGCTCGAGCGGATCAAGGCCAAAGGCGTCGATCTGCATTGCATCGGTAACAATGGTGGGGTGATGAAGTTCGAAGAGCATGCCCACTTGCATCCTAATCCAAACGATGGGCTGACGGAAGTGGAGACGGATCCAAGGCATGCGGAGAATCAGCGAGTGTAAGACCTCGCAGGCTTCAACCGGCGGTTGGAAAATCTGATATCGCAGGCCTATATTGCGCCTCAAATGAAATCGACGGAGTTGAGATAGATCTTGATAGAGCATCACTTCTGTCCATCGAGAAGTCGAGTTCTCCGACGTGGCCTGATGATATCTTACGACCAGCAAACAACACGAAGAGCTGTATCGAGCGTCACGTTAGCGTATATCGCGGTTCGCCACTTGTAGGTCGCAGGGTAGTAGTAGACATTCGGCGTCGGCTTGGCGTGAACGGTTCGGCGTGTCGCAAGAATATCTACTTCATCCATAACTCTGAGGGCAACGTCGACCACTACTACTCTTGACTCTTCGCACTGGCACTGTACCTCCTATTGTAGGCGTGATGCAACGTTGCCGAGCGAGGCCGGTCACGTGCCAACCGTTGGATATCTCCGCTAGCGTGGCTCTGGCACTACTAGCGTGCGCATAGATATTTTCGAGCCGACCACCCATGCGCCGCATCATCAGCCTGAAACGCAACACAGCAGTACACCCTCTCCCTAACTGGCTCAGCCTTGATTGCTGCAATCAAGGCTCCGCTAACACCGCATTTCCAGTCATGTGGGTTACCGGGTATTCAGCAGCCATAATTACCTTCCACAGTGCGGCGAATTGCGTGACGCACGCCAAATCCTGCAATTCCTTTGTGTTCAGGACGCTGGCGGCTGGCAGCATTCGAACGGCCAGGATGGGGTCCGTAGCACACCGACACCGAAGAGCAATCCTACTGCCCAGGTTTTGGCACTCTGCGCAAGGGCAGTCGTGTTTGTCCTTCACTTCATTCCCTTCTCGTATCGTTACCAAAATCTATCGTGCTCGAGCGATAGATAGAAGGTGGGCTGGCCAGCCTCACACCTCGCCCGTACTGATCCCGCACTTTGCGTCGACTCTCACCTCAGCTGACACTTCCTTCGTCATCGACTACTGCAGTCTTTGCTTCTTGTTGTTCGTTATTGCTATTGTTATATCACGACTGCGTACTCTCTGGAGGGTACTGCTACAATCGACCCACTCATTCACGCGGCCCACGACACATATTATCAAGCTACCCACGCCCAACGGATTTTCGAGGATACGGCTTGAGGCCGAGCATCTCGCAAATCAACCAGGCCCATTTCTTCACTTTACGGGTGTCCGCGTCACGACATACCACTTGCTGGCCACTGGGTGGAGGTGACTGTGGCCTGGCATGGCGTTTCTAAAACGCTCCAAATCGCAAAAGGTCCCGTCTGGCAAGGATGTTGAGAGGAATGAGGAGCCTGCGCCCGAGAGGTCCATTCCTGAGCAGGATGAAGTGCTAAAGGACAGACGGAAGAGCAAGCACGAACGGAGGAGGTCCATCTTCACCCGCTCCAAGTCTGCCGATGCCCGCAGGAGTACGGAGCGACCACGGACCGCGAACAGAAACGGCGATCACAGAGGTGATCTGCAAACACTGGGCGAGAGCATCGAGATACGGGAGGGTGGTGACACATTCAACTTCCCAACACCATCGCCACGTCTTCCACCTAAGAATGCGACCTTCCAGGCCGCTCCTTCTCCTCTTGGTGCTGGCGAGGGAGCAGCGATTGGCCTAGCTATAGGTTCTCCTTCGCACGTAGCACCGAATTGGGGTCGTTCATTCACGTCGATTCAGCCACCGACCAACACCGACCGCCTACCACCGCCAGTACGGGCGCACACAACGCAAGCAGCGCATCCCGGCCTGATGGAAAGCCCTGCCAAAGCGCCTGAGCTTCGCAAGAAGAAGTCAAGCTGGAAAATACTTGGCGGCCTTTTCCATCGCCACTCGCCTAAGCCAGAGATTCCCGAACCTTTCTACAAAGTTCACATGGAGCCGGAATCAAAAGCGCTGCAAGCACGACCCCTCATAGAGACGCCTTCGCCTTCGCCAGGTCCTCTGCAAAGTCCCGGTTCAATCTCCAGCCATCACGCACGGACGCCATCTGTGACGCGCGGCATGGCGAGGTTTGAAGCGAGAGCTGAAGCAGATCGGGCGTCTTTCATGCCCAATATCGAAAGCAAGATATTCCGAACTCCAGCGGACCAACGTGTTGGCACCTTGCCCGCGCCAAAGCCTCTTGGTAGCATTCGGGACTCGGAAGACATGTTCACCACGCTTCAGGGAGACCGCAAAGACTCGCCGATGTCGACCAGTGGTATAACAGTACCGGGCGCTGTCCCAAGGACGCCGAGACTGGATCTTGACTTTCCGAGTGGAGAGATGGAACGTTATAGCGTCATGTTTGAAAAGCTCCTCGAGCCTCGACAATCGATCTTGGAGCGGAGGCAGAGCAAACTGAAGAGGCTCAACTCTAAAACGAACAAGGAGGCAGTCACTTCCACAGTGCCCAGTCTCCCGCATATAAGTCAGCCAACTAGCGAGCGCCGCCTACCAAGTCTGCCGCAGCTCACGATGCGACCACCACAGAGCTTTGTTCCACAGCGCAGTATGACCTCGCCACATCTCACCAAAGTGCCAGCTCTCAACATCACAGTCGCGAAGAAAGACGGCACATCGGTGGAGGAGCCAGTGACAGCCATCCACCGGCCGCGGCCCATTCAGCGCTCGAAGACCGCACCAACAGGCGCAACGTCTCCGGCTGCGCCCAACTTCTCCAGGCCCAAGCCTCCGACCTTTGCAAGCTCGGACAGTGATGTGTCGCCTTCATCACCGCTATATGGCGAGGACTCGCTGCCGCCTACACCCACGACCATGACGACGGTGACCGACTGCGAGTCCATGGTCGCTGTTAGCCGCGGGTTGATGCCGCTCAAGGGTCGCCACACGGACGACAGCGAGCCGAGCTGGGACATGCTTACCTCCAAGGCGACCAACTGGTCTACGGACGGCTTGACGCGGGAGCCGTATCCGCGTGTCAGCTCGCCAGAAGAGCTGGAGAGGCACATGGTGCAGGTCAGCGTAGCGAGGCAGGTCA